GAGATTGTTTTTGCTTGAAGTCACTTGGCCTGGAAGTTGTGATCGGATCTGAGGGTGTGTGTTGTTCTAGGTATAATTGTTATGTGCGGTTTGCATGTGGTTCCCCCCCACTTTCACATGGGATGTATGGTTTCATATATCAGCGAAAACGCCCAGCAACGACATAGATTGAGTTCTGCCCCTAAAGAAAATAAATAAAAGTAGCTGATTTTGTTGTGTGTGTTACTTAATTACTGTGAGTGTGTTTTGGAAAATATAAATTAGAGTAGATTGAGCAAGATTGAACTTAAGTAGCTGGCTGTCTGAAGGTGAATGAGGCTTTTTCCTAAATGAAAAAAGAGAGACAGGCACAAGTAGTGTTTTGGTGTTGCTGGGATAAGAGCAGCGGTTTATCTTCCACACATTGTCGTCTCGCACCTAAATGCCTTCTTAGGAAGCCTCAAGCTAAACAACTGGTATCTGCCACAGAGTGGTGTTCTCACACCCCCTGAAATATGCAGACAAAAGCCCCTAAAACATCATTCTAACTTAGTTACACAGTAAAGTTTCTGTGTATGAACATATCTAAAGAGCTGCTGGATTTGAAGTGAATAGAGTAGTGATGTTTGATTTTACTCTTAAAGAGGAACGAGTTTAATCGAAGCAGAAGTGGATCCAAAATCCTGCTTTCTTCCTGCGCAGTTGTGTGCACGATCCAGATTTTTAAGAGCTGAAGGAGTGAGAGCCGCTGCTCAGCGACACACTGGCACTGAGCACGCTGACCCAAGAGCACCGTACACACACACACACACACAGCACAATGTTTGTATGTTTGTGGCACTCGTCAGTTATTTATTTGATATACTTAATAAGCTAAGAGATCTTGGGGAATGTGGGTGTGGGGTTCTAGACATCACTGACCCAAAAGAGTCCTTCATGAGTGTGTTTGCCAGTGGCGGCTTGAACAAACCAAACCTGGTTACTTAAAAGAACCACTCTTCTCATCAGCAGGTTAGACATCTGAAGGGTGTAGTGGCTCACCTACAAAGGCTAGTGCGTTTGTAGCATTCCACCTCAGTGTTCATTCGGGTCATGAACATTTTTCCCACGTTTTGCATGTCTGTTCAATGACGTAGGAGGTGTCGTTCACAAACAGTGAGGCTGCTCATCCTGTCCGCTCTGTACATTTTCTTGCTGAAAGAAAGCGGGGCTGGAGGGGCCTCGGAAATGAAAAAGATGGAGAGAAGGACTGGAATGTTAAAGTCCCCCTCCACTCATAAATGGGCTTTGCTTATTGTTACTCGACTTAGAGGTTGAGCTTCTCCGTGCAGGCTGATGTGCGCTGAGGTTGACAGTACATGAGCATGATTGTGTGACATCACAGCTAGTTTGGGTGCTAGGTGTGGTCCAGACACTGAGTGGACCTGTCAGTAAATAGGAGACACCCTGTGTGCATGCAACAGACAGCAGTGTATTGATTTGCATATTGATGAATTCAGATGGGTGCTTCACAAATTTAGCCTCGCACTCCTGTAACACTGTGATTGTATTTCCTTTTTATTCCACACTTTCTTCTTCCTCGTCTAAACCTGCCGCCTGCAGTACCCACAATGCAAGTTGGCGTGTTATGCCAGTAGCAGGCTACGGTGGTCTGGTTAGCTCACTTCTTTCCAGCTCCTCACTTCTTGATTTTTCGTTTTCAAAACTTAGTAGCCTTCAGCCCTCACTGACATTGACTCAAATGACATCACTTGAGGCAGTTTGTCAGACGTTGAGCAGCTTCCTCTGGAGCCAACTTTTTTTAGAATATGCAGAAGTACTCCCCAACACCTGGAGATGTGTAAAATAGGTGGCGTTCCTCTTTTCATTTTCAACATTCATTTTGGGGAAGAAAAAAAAATCAGCTTTTTACGATTGTGTAGACGTGTAGATGTTTCCATTCCACACGTAAGCTTGTAATATGTTCCCAGTCTTGCGGAGAACAAAACAAAAAGTATACACTCTGACATTTGTCTTTACATCTGTCATTTTTTATCACCTGGTCCTAATGATTGGGGATGTTTTGTCTTTTTGGCTATAAAATTAATGAATTGACCAAAGATCTGTACACTGCTTATAATAATACTTTAAGATTTCTCATTGTTGACTTCATCTGAAGAACTCCTACAAAAGCAGTTTGAAGAAGACTGAAATGTGTTTGTTGACACTTGTGGTCTTAAACATGTTAAGTGTCTTATATCAGGCTGTTGGTGAGATTGTATCAGCTGGCATTCCTGTTGACACAGTGAGAGGAGCTTCTGTGTTTTGTCCGTTTTTTGAGCCCTGACCTTAAACGCCCCTTGGACGTTTCAGTTCCACTGAAACCAGACTCCTGTCAGTGTTGGTCTGGCTTCTATTAGAGGTTGGTTATACATGGATAAATGCTAAATGTTTCAGTCCACATCACACACTGTAGAGGACAGTGTGATTATTAATTCTGTTGGTTTACCTCATGCTGTTTTCCTCTTATTTGAATCAGAGGAACAAAGCTATATTAGGAGAGCTTTGAAGCAGCAGACAGTCAGTTCTAATTGAATCGTAGCCAAGCACTGTAACTGTCGTATCCCGTCCCATCCTGCCTTTTATTCTCTTTTATAATATGGGTGATAAAAGACAACCACAGTTTTTATGACCTGTATGTCAACTTCACTTTTCCTTTGTTCATGATTTACTAGCTAGCTGTGATTAGTTCTGCTCAGCTGCCTAAAACATGCTTTCAAGTTAGACCACAATGAGCGAGCTGTTTTTACTGGCCGGCAGCATGTGACAACCATGTCAGTCTCACTGAGATGCTGTGCGACCAACCATCTCACCTGGGAGAAAACATTTTAACTTCTATGGAAAATGACGGACATTCACCCCGTGTGACAGATGTTGACTCAACTGAATGAATTGTGTGATTTGTGTTACACCTTTGTTTGCAGGAAGGAGGAGGTGTCAATCGGGGAAGTATAAGGAAGTGGACCAAATGCTGACTAGCAAGTGGAGACCAAAAGCTGTGCAAAACAAATTGAGGAGTCAGTGGAAAAAAAAAAAGAATTGGTCAGGCCACGTCCTGACCAATTGCAAAACATGCACAGTTGTTTTTTTTCTCCGACGCTAGTACACACTCCCGAAGTAGGGGAAAATGTGAGTGTAGCTTTTATTTGTGTAGCCTGATCCTTCCAACATGTGAAAACAAGCAGAGGAGTTATATACTGCCTGTGGCGATGCTGTAAATAGGTGCGAATAGCTTTGCCAGTGATTGTGTTAGTATGTTCCCAGTACTGTAGGTGAGCGTGTGGGTTTGGTTTTTCTTCCCAGGATAGAGAGGGACAGAGCTGTTTCTAGCCACAGGGTGCTCGCTCCAGTGCTACAGCCTCAATGGGAAATCATTGAAACTGCACTCAGTCCGGTCATTTGATTGGATGTGTGCACTCCTGCTATCCCCAGTGGCTTATTCACATCGAATTTCAAGTTGTTAGCGATTTTAGTTAATTCTCACACTAAAAGATTTGTGTAACATACCAGAAGTCGAGGATTAAAGAGCTCATTATCAGATTCCCAGGCACATATCAGACCAGTGCTGAAGGATTTCCTTGGACACACTTTTGGACAGCCTCTTGCCAGCTTCTCGCGGCCCCTCGCTAGAATGTAAATGCATTCCTGCATCTCTGAGTAGTGGAACCTTGGCAGTGGAGTTTCTAGAAATCAAACTGCTTGCTCTGTAATCTTTGGAGATGTTGCTGACCTTTCTTTTCTCCTGTTGCCCTTACAGTTTCAAAAGAACTTCCTACATCAGGATGAAGGGACTAAAAGAAACTCCTCAGGACCGGTGAGTTCAGATCAAACGCAAACTCTGTTTTGCTCTCGCACTCAGTGTATTGTTGCAGACAAGCAATGATAAGATTTAAAAGTTTTCATTTTCCTAAATGAATTCAAACTGCATTTCTATTGAATTTCCAATCTAAAGTTCCCTTTGCCCTATTCTGTCAAAGTTGTCTAAGTTGAGAATGGCGGACTAATAATGGAAATTACTGTACAGAGGGGTAATCATAGAATGTAAATGTATTAAATGGCAAGTGGTGAAAAAGTGCAGACAGTATATCGTATGAAAAACTGTTAAAACTCTTAAGGATTATAACTTTAATGTCCATCAGTTGTGGTTAGGCAGCATCCTGTTATTTACTGTCAAATAATGGCCTTTCTTTCCCATCAACAGGGGCTGCTTGGTGGGGATCAGTTTCTTCATTCTGGGCCTGGGAACGTTGCTACCATGGAATTTCTTCATGACTGCCTCATTGGTAAAAACATGGCAATTACTTAACCCCTCAAAGACACGTTATCTATGCCCTATAAATGTTTTATTACATAAAAACCAATAGACCCAGTTAATAGGATGGTAGTATGTCATCGAATTTCCAGTCAGATCTGCATAAAAGCCTTCCCTTTAAAGTGAAATTGTGTGTTCAGTGGTTAACTACTTCACCATGCTAGATAGATGACAATGGACTTATGGATAATAAGCTGTTTAGAGAACATAGAAAATATCTTAAAATATAATAGTACGCAATGTACATGATGAATTAAATTAGCCAAGGTAGTATTTTAAGTGGTTTGTTGATGTGTTATGCGGTCTGGGTATTAAAATGTCGTGACCTGTGGGGACCCTTAAATCCACACGGTCTGTCATATGACTTTGGGTAATACCAATTTAATCTTCTAATCGGAAAGTTGTTGGTTTGATCTCCGGCTCCTGGTGCCACATGTTGAAGTATCCTTGAGCAAGATACTGAACCGCCCTGCATCGGTGTGTGAATGTGTGATGAATGATTTAGTTTCTGTTCGGGATGGGCTGTTTGCCATCACTGGACGTGAATTGTGTTGGTGAAAGTGAAGTGTGGCAGCGTAGGGTGTAAAGAGTGCTGTTGAGTTGCGTCGAAGGACTAGAAAGGCGCTATACAAGCTACCCATGTGCTGGGGGGGTGACAGCCTTCGTTCTTCTTGTTCGACATACGTGTAACTTTTAAAGGTTCCTTGCTCAAAAGCATCGCGCACTTCTCGAGTCGTATTTTCAAGCCTGGCGTTAGCTGATAGCAGGGATGGAGCTGTGACTGCTTGATTCCACCGGGCAGGGCAAAGAGCAGATCTATGCTGTGTTGAAGGAAATTGTGTTTTTCACATTATCTATTTTATATCCTAGATGTGTGCATTTAAACCAAAGAAAGCCTTATTCTGTTATGATCAGAAAGTAACACATGACCACGGTGTGAGCCAATGGCATTTTGTTGTGCAGGACCTGGGAAAGTGAACTTTGGTTGTTATTGTAACAAAGACAGTGTTACTGTGAGATAAAGGTAGGGAGTTTCTCATATCAAGAATTCTTATCTAAGGACGTGAGAACTACAGGCAGGCACGTGTTTCACCTGGTAAACAGTTGTGATGACGCATGTTTTTTTTGTCTCTAATATCACACAAATCATAGTATAGTAAGTAAGTATTCTGGATTTGTATGTACGTCTCTACAGAGTAAGAGTAAAACTACTTTGTATTAAAATGAAGTAGAGAGTTTAGTTCTTTTGTGTCTCAGTATTTGGTTCCTATAAGCCTCATACTAGTTATTTCAAAATAAAACACAGACAACCAACTGTAAAATACATAAAAAAAGAAAGCATTTCTTTATGTAGCCTACTCACCCATGGTAGAAGCACAAAAGTGAGGAAAAGTTATCAAATAAACAAAATCTGAGCAAGTCTGTAGCCATGCTGAGAAAACTTTGTCGTAGATGCAACATCAAGGAGAGTGACAACAAATGTTTCAATGTCTCAAGCAACAGATCAAATGAGAGCAGCAGTATTGTGAAATGTCCTCTTCACTCGACTTATCTGGATCTCTGCTCTAATCAGCCGGATATTATGAAAGTGGGGCTGTATCTCGATTAAAGGCCACTGTAATATGCCAGTGTGTGATGTTGTTTCTTGGCTGCTCATAGAGCGTGATTCTTATTGCCCTTTTCCCCTTTTGTTCCTGAGTGCACTCCCTACAGTAGTTTACCATCTGCCTTTATTTTCTTTATTTACAACATTACAAGTCTGTATTATGGTATTATTGCATAATTGCAAATTAGATGATCATTATAACATGCAATAGCATGCAAGGACTGGGTTGTCTTAAAGTTGCTTTTTTTTTTTCTTCTGGTTACTTGGGGCCAGCTGAACAAGCTGCAAACACAACATTAATAACCTCAAAAAGTTGGTAGGATGTTAGCAAATGGTTTCTTATTTACACATAAAACATAGCTGCTAAATGCTTCACTATGTTCAACACCTAGTTGCTAATTTTGCTGCTTGCTGCTGGGCAGGTAGTTTACGGCGGGTTTATCAGAACGTTTTAACTGAAAACGTCTTCCTGCTGTGTCTGGAAACTGAGCTGAGAACTGCAGAGTTGGGTTATAATTCTTAAGGGTTTGTTATCTTTCACATTACACAGTCATTGGACTCATTGTCGATATAAAAAAAAATACTAGTGCAGCTTTAAAATGATCAAGGATTTAACTATTCCTGTTCTTTGTTGTCTGAAATGCGACGAAGATTCTGGGAGTTATTTTGAGCTCTCTATGAATGTTTAAATATCTGTATGAGGAGTTTTCCAAACTTCAGATAATGCTTAGCTCAGTTGGGGAACAGTAAAACAGTTTTTTCAAACATTGTAAACTAAAATTTGAAAAGAATGGAACATTAAGGTGACACGACAAAAATGACTTATTAATACGTTTATATGTTTATATGCTTGCATGCATGTAAAGATATGTGTGTGTGTACCTTTTTGTGTACTTGAGTGTGGGCTCATTTGACAGTGATAATCCAACGTCTGTCTTGTTTCCTCTGGGTTTGCAGTACTTCCAAGGTCGCCTGAACACAACAGAATGGAGCAACGGCACGGTGGTGGTCCGCAAGGAGTACTACTTCAACAACTGGATGACCCTGCTGTCCCAGCTGCCCCTGCTGCTGTTCACCCTGCTCAACTCCTTCCTCTACCAGAGGTCAGTGACGGAGTTACGAGATAATTCCGAGGATGCAAAGACATCTTTGTTGTTCCATACACCGAAAGATGTAAATTCCCATACTGTTCAGTAGAAGTAATGAATCTAATTTAGTGTTGTCATTTCCTCATTAAGAATCCTAGACTTGAGGTATTGGCTGTTAAAAAGTTGCTTGTATGAATGTCTCATGCCATAATATTCCTCTGTATATGTCTTATGGTGTAGAGTGTGTTCTTGGTTAAATGGCTGATGTGTGATCTTGTTTCAGGATATCGGAGGCGATACGCATCGCAGGCAGCCTGGTTTTCATCCTGGTGCTCTTCATCCTCACAGCAGTGCTGGTTAAAGTGCCCATGGAGGAAGACCGCTTCTTCTCTGTCACCATGGCTACCATCTGGTTCATCAATTGTAAGTCTGTGCGACTGTGCGAGAGAGAGAGTAGAGCACATGTGTGTGTAAACGTGGGTGAGAAGTGTTGACGGATGCTTCCTCTCCCCCCAGCGTTCGGTGCCGTGCTGCAGGGCAGTCTGTTCGGCCTGGTGGGTCTGCTGCCTCAGAAGTACAGCGCCATCTTCATGAGCGGCCAGGGCCTCGCCGGGACCTTCGCTGCCATCGCCATGCTGATAGCCATCGGCAGTAAGCCACCCACATAACAAACAAAACACCACCAGGGTGTCTAATCCCCAGTTGCCTAGTAACTGAGGACATTCAAAATGGGTGTTGTGCTAGTCAAATCAGCATGACAACACACTCTGCTCCATTTCAAAGACACAGCTCATTTTGGGTCCTTTTTTTGAACTGTGTTTTTTCTCATTCACGTCTCTCTCCCAGAATTCCTAGCTAGCTAACCTGTGTGTTTGTCGCTCAGGTGATGCAGACTCTGAGACAGCAGCGTTGGGTTACTTCATCACACCGTGTGTGGGAACGCTGGTCACACTCTTCAGCTACCTGCTGCTGCCCCGCCTGGTCAGTCTGCTAGTCCGCATGACTACATTACCCACAATCCGTACAACCTCACCTAAGCTATCCTTCTCTTTCTTGGCCCCTTTACCACTAACACTGATCCCACAGTGTAATAACAATACATTTAGAGAGAAATCCGAAAATTAGATGAATAAAAACCAAAATGTGGCTTTTTAAGATGGTGTTTGCTCTAAAGGAGTCCTTATACCAAGAACTGAGTGAGCATTTTAACCTCCAGTTCCCTCTCCTTGAAGTGAATGGGTTTTGTGAATAGGTTTCAGGTTAGATGCTTAAAATAAGGTCTGTGGTTATTTAAGAGGTTTTCATGATTGCTAACAAGTAGCTAAATGACTGTTGTCAGTGACATTAAACACACAGACTTATCTATTCACTAGTCTGCCTCTACAGCCTCATGTTTAGACTAGACAGACTATTCTAAATTAAACTTTACAAGCTGTAGATTGTAATTATAAGAATTACAAGTTGGAAATGTTGTGGTGGTGATGTTGAGGTCATGCGACCGAGGTGTAGTCCGTTTATAGCCCAACATTAGCTTTTTACTTCTGGCAATCGCATTTCTGCTTAAAAAAAATCATAAAAGCCACGGAGCTTATTTTCTGTAATAATCAAAAATCCAATGGAAAATGAGCTGCTGAATGTAATACTGCCTTATGTGACTGTAAGTAGGCAGAGAACTGAATTGAATTTGAATTTCATTTGAATTAACTTTTGTCTGTGTTAATCAAGAAAAACTGGAATCCCACTAAAATAGTCTAAACTTGTATAACTTGTATTAGCCCAACAGCACAACTTCTTTATTTCAGCTGTAAAGCCTAATTTGTGTTTTCTGGCGTTCCCATGCAGGAGTTTGCCCAGTATCATCTCAACGGCAGCAAGTATGAGGCGGGAACCACAGACGTGCTGCTGAAAGGTGGGATTTAGCTCCTCGATAGTGCGAGCTCTTTAACATTAGATCATCAAACACTCTGACAGTGAGAGAACATCTGTTTGCTTTTCCACTGAGCTCCCAATTCTGCCCTTCACTGACTGCCTAAATCAAATCAATTCAGTGGAACATTATCTTGTTAAGTAAGTTGACCCTCTATTTATCCAATTAGAGTCCTGGCAGTGCCGGGACAAAGACAGAGCCTGTTAGACTCACAGAGACTCACACAGACTGCGACTCTCTTGTGGTGATTTCTATGAATGCTAAAAAGCCCACAGAGGTGCTCTCACTCAAGTCATTCACTAAACCAGTCGTCATGTTTGAAATACGTCCTCGGCCCACGTTGAACAATAGCATCTTTATGCGGGACTGGATCAGAGGCAGTAATATGTGTGTGTTCAATTGCAGAGAGCAGCACAGTGGAGAACGGCAAGCTGAATGGCCATGCTAACGGCTCAGCTGGTGGCTCTCCGGCTGAGGCCGAGGTCGACCCCGATAACGACGGGACCAAGCACGCCTTCCTGTCGCTGGAGCCGGAAGAGAAGCCAGAGAAGAGCCAGGCCAAGGCCTCGGTCATAGAGGTCTTCAAAAAGGTTTGATGTTACAGTCTCAACAGTTACTGAGATGGTTTCATTAACATGCCATTAGTACAAACAGTACTTTGTTTTTAGTCCCATTAAAAGTATACAATTTTTAAAAAGTGTTCTTTCATTTCCAGATCTGGGTGATGGCTTTCTCCGTGACGTTTGTGTTTACAGTCACTCTGTCCGTCTTTCCTGCTGTCACTGCAGATGTCAGAACATCATTCCCAGGAAAATGGGGTACGACCCATCCTCAGTTAATCTCTGATTGATTACACTTACTGGATATATACGTATCTGCACACGGTGTATCTCTTGTGTAAACTCAATGCTCTCATGTGTTGTGGACTGATCATATCCTCCTCTCTCTCCTGTTTCTCTTGCTGTTCATTCTCTCTTCAGAACGCTTCTTTATCTCCGTGTGCTGCTTCTTGACTTTCAACCTCAACGACTGGTTCGGTCGGACCATCACCACCTTGATACGCTGGGTGAGTATCTGATCACATCATCATCCTGCGTCCGCTTCATCGCCCTACAGTTTAATAATGGAACCACCTACACTATACATGCCCTATAGCTCATTTCTTTACATGATTTGCCACAGTTACCTCTTAAAAAGATACATGTCTACTTGTGAGCTCGTACGTTAGCGATTGTGACCAGTGTTTTTCGTTCTTGTTTAGTATGAATTTGATTTAGAGGCCTAAAAATGCTAAATCATCTTTTAATTAACAAGAAAGCAAATGGTGCAAAGTCAGAAAAAACCCCACATCATTTCTTTGAGTTTCAAAATGAAAATTATTTAATACCCATTTCTGAAAGGGAAATTGAATGACCAAAAGCTACACCGACCAATTTTCATCCAAATGTATGCCTTTTTTATATCCACTTCTCACTCTACTGTCTTCTAACTAATGCTCCCACATTCTCCTCCACAGCCTTGTAAAGAGTCGCGCCTGTTCCCGGCGCTAGTTGTCTCCAGGGTGGTGTTCGTCCCTCTGCTGATGCTCTGTAATGTCCAGAATCGCTCCTACCTTCCCGTCTTATTCTCCCACGATGCGGCTTTTATTGTCATCATGGCTGTCTTCTCTGTGTCCAGTGGCTACTTCGTCTGCCTCTCCATGTCCTACGCGCCACAGTGAGTACAACGAGTATATCACCGATGCTGAATAGATGTGACGATACTGGTCACATATCTCGCATCACATCTGAGTGCAGGGTACACATTCATAACGCACTGTTGTGTTTTAAATGTGTTGTTACTTCAGAGATACGTTATTGATGCCTGATGTAGGCACCATATATCTTACCTGAGGAACCAACCAATCAGAACACCAGCAGCACCACCCAGCTTTCATACCAGCTTAGGTCAATGAGATCTCTTCCAGTTGTAAACAAACAGCCAAATTAACAAAATAACAACAAGGTTTAAAAATTGGTAATCAAAACTCATAATGGTCAAAGATCACATGTCAAAAGGAAGAAATACATCTTATATGTCAGTTAAGGAATAACATCAAACGGCTCACTGTGGCTGTTCCTCTTTGTTCTACTTTACGTACAAGCATTCCTTCAACAATTGCTGTTAACCTCGGTTACGAATACCTGTAGCTGCTTCAAAATAAAAGCCACTGTGTTTTTCCAGTTGAATGCCATTAATGTCAAGCAGCAGCTGTAGGAAATCCAGTTCTTACACGGCTATAATAATAGTAAGGATAAGGATAATGTTGCTTTATTTTTGTAAAAATGTGTCTTGAGAAGAGGGATACAACGGGGAAATAACTGCATGTAAACAGTGAGACAGGGACTATCTGTGCTGACAGATATCTATGAGGTAACACTGAAAACACGCTATTTGAATCCTGTGCGAGAATGGCGGACTCTGCCACTAACAATAACTACTGTACAGGGAGGTAATTACAAAATGTAAATCTGTTGAATGGCTATTGATGAAAAATGCTGAGCATTAAAACTAAAAATGGAGTTTGATGTGATTAACATCACAATAATAACCCTTTAATATACAGCTCATGAATACCATGCTGTGCAGCTCCCAACTCTTGGCTCTGGGTGTTCTGGAACGCACCAACAAGAATCACCATGACAACAAAGAATAACTTTGACACAAAAACTGATGGTGGTGTAATGATCACTGTGAATCAGCGGTCTAATGCAGGTCCCAAGTCTCAGCAAGTAGATTTTATAGTGTGGTGAAATAAACTGACTGCTGTCTGGAGATAATTTGTACTCTTGAAAATGAACTTCATAATGGAAAGTATGATTTGTAGTTAATTAAGACTTAATAAAACAGGGCTTTGATTAAATGTGTCATGGCTAAGCTTCTGCTCTCTCTGCAGGTTGGTGGAACCTAAAGATGCAGAGACTGCAGGAGCCCTGATGACCTTCTTCCTGGCCCTGGGTCTGTCCATTGGAGCCGCCCTGTCCTTCCCCCTCCGAGCTCTGGTCTAGTCACACACACACACACACACACTGACACATATAGCACTGCGTAGACACTGTAGAATATTTTTCACACACACCTGGAGGAGGGTGGAATATGATAAACAGTTAATCATCGGTGTGCCCCTCCTGGACGACCTTCTCATTGTTTCTCCACTCATCAGTCAGCTGCTGTGCGTGTTACAGCATGACGGCCCTGACAACCAGGGAGCCTGGGTGACGCTGTAAAACCACAGCTCATGAAGCGGTACTGCTCATAAACGACTGACAGGATTCCCTTTGAATGGGAACAAGGGATTTGCTGCATGTTACTTTGAATAAGTCCTGGTTATGTTATTTCCTGTAAGGTTAGAACAGATTCTCTGTACAGACAATGTAATAGAACTGATTGTGCTGGACTTTTATGTTTATTGTTGTGTGTTTCTACATTTTTTAGGTTTATTTATGTTTATTTTAGCTTTTGTTGTAAGTAGTTATTTGGGCATTATCAGATGATTCTATGTAGATAAAGGGACATCCTAGAAAAACTGACTTTATTCATATGCTGCAATTAAGAAAACATAGGTACGAAAGAAGTACTTGTTTTTGCTTTGGTCTTATACTGCATTTGTTTGGATTTTGAAAAGCGATAGATGTTTTCTATTTGGTTGATGGCTTGAATGATTACCGTGAATCTTCTTTTTGTGAGATCAATTACATTAGGTACTTTTGATGTATTTTTCTGCCTAGAATGATTTTGTATTTTCTAATGAAATAGCTCAATGTTACAGAAGTTGAACAAACAAAAGGATATTTATAATGTACTATTAAAGGACAATTCCGGCGCAAAATGAACCTGGGGTTAATAACACATGACCGAGTTGGTCCGTTCTCTGGCGGATTATGTTTTCAATGGCTAATCACACGTGACCAGTTTAGCCACAAAGCCGCTAATTACCTATACTAAAACGCCTTTTTCTCCGTGACTTGCTTTCCCAAACGATGGCGGCCCGCCTGTTTACGTGAGCCTACTGTTGTTCAAAAATATCTTTTTAATTAAAAAAACTTCGTACACATACAAGTTCTCAATGCTTCGGTTTACAAGTATTGGCCCCCTCATTATGCTTACTGCTGTAAGTGTTTGGTGTATTTTGAGCCTTGTCACGTGGTATAGAAATAGCTTTCTTTTCACTTTTACTCATGGCCCCCGTTGAACTAGGTTCTATATCGGTAATTAGCGGTTTTGTGCTAAAAACTGTCACGTGGCGGATTAGAAATGAAAACATATCCCAGGGGACCAACTCGGTACACATGTGTTATTAACCCCAGGTTCATTTTGCGCCGGAATTGTCCTTTAATTTCCAGTGGAGGCTTATTGCCTCATGGGCATAGATGGATTACTGAAAGGGCCAAACAGGCTCAGGGGCCCGAGCAGTCAAAGGAGTTAGGGCCCCTGGGCCAGAGCCGCTGTTAGGAGTGACAGATAAGACTTCCTGTTGGAAAGTCAATCAGAGGACCACAAAGAGTTAGGAGGACATACAAAACAACCACAGAGACACAAAACAACCACAACTAGACTAATGGCCACAAAGACGCACAACTGACTACAAAGAGACCACAAAACAGATGTTTGTAGTGGTTTTGTGTCTGTCTGGGTGTCTTGCTGCTATGTAGGAGAGGTGGGAGTTCTTTAACATGTCTGTGGCCAGGGTACCCATTGGGCATTGTGTCAATTCCAGTTTGTCCTCACCTCCCAGTCTCCTCCACTGCAGCAACACAAACCTGCATCAAGCCACTGCCGCCACCTACTGGTCGAAAGACTGAGGTTCTTCTTCTGTGACTGTGGGGATACTACTTAGACAGGAAGTGGAGTTTACGGCACCAGGTGATACTTGATCATATTTGTTGGCCAGAGTTTATGTTAACAGGTTTTGTGAGTATGACATCATTCTTCATTAGACATTGCCCTGCCACTGATGCTATGATGCAACTACAAGAAATAAATCTCTAACATCTCCTGACAACAACGGGCAGCTGCTGTTTTGTTACTAAATGGACTGATGGAGTAATGCGACCATTAACCAGGTGTGAAAATCAAAACAAAACAAAAGTAAATAAAAGGCACTGCGAATGATGAGCTTAATATTAAATAGATATTGTATTAGCTACTTAACTATGTGTAATAGTTGGATTTTTTAGACATTGCTACAAAAGTGCCAATGACACAAATAATTTCAGTTTGTTGGGATTTTTATCGTCCTGTAGATGAATTAACTCCAGCTTGATGTAGATTTCTTTGTTTTAGCCCTTATGATCAGCAAAAAGTGCTTTTTTGTTTTTATTTACTGACTCTGTAAATGATGAGTTTCTGTATGAGTATTGTATGAGGTGTCATGCATATGTACATTTGAGAATTTGTGTTTTAACAGCTGCTGCTTCAAATGAACCAAGGTATGAGTACCAATGGGAGTGATATTAATGGTACTTTTTAAAGTGCGAGCTGATGCTTGAACACATGCATTTATAATGGGGTCAGTGGTTTACAGCCAACACAATAATAGCAATGTAAGACCGGACACAGCCAGTACTTGCATTGGCAACAATGAGCCTTTAAAAATTAAAGTTTGGTTTTTTTTCAACCCTGCCAGTCCTGAAGGTCAGATTTAGTTAATGCTAACTAAAATCTGAGTAATGTATTTTCAGTAGGAAGCTGAAATTAACCATACAGTATAATGCGTAATTCCATGTCATACTTTATTTTTGTTCTACTTCTGAGCTCCGTGTATCAGGATCAGACTGATATGGGTAGCTCTCAGGCAATATGTGGTACATGGCTGCAGGTGTTCTAACAGTTGCAGCTCAGCCTAATTATTATAATAATAATAATCAGCCTTAATAATAACAATGAGACCCAGTTTAAAAGGTTCATGTTGTGTTCACATCATATCAGATTGACTGTAAATACAAGCTGCTGTCTGCCTCCTCGTGCTAATCAGTCTGTGCTTGTGTTGCTAATTGCATGTGTCAACACGGGGCACAGCAGGAAGTCCTCCGACGTTAGCGACGAAACCAGAGTGATCTGAGGTCCGTGTTTTTGTTTTCTCTGATATGGTGTGACCGCAGCGTTAATACCTGATGTGATCCATTACGTGCAGTTCTTTTGTGCTCCATACAATCACATGCTGGCTGAAGATGCGCACACAAGAGTTGTGTCTCCTGAGTTACAGTAAAAGGGAAGAGAGTGTGCATGTTCATAATGTATCGATGGATCTGACTGTCAATAAATGGATGCTTGTAACCAGTGTAATGTGTGTTTGTCAACCTGTGGCCTCACAAGACTACTGTTCTTTTTTAGGAGTATAAAAGTCCTTCTTCACAGCAGCCATTTTGACCTGAAATAGTTGAGTAAACACAGGCGTTTTCAGTGATGCTAATTAGGTTCTGTTCCATTCAGGTCAACTACTAACTAATTCAGGCTAATGTGATCCGTTTGAAGAGGTCATATTATGCTCTCAGGTTTTCCCTCTGCTTTAGTGTGTTTATATAGATTTTTTAGAGTCTGTAAAGAGAGAAAACAGGTGTCCATTTCCTGACATCATAGAGAAACAGCAGCACTACAATAACTACAATTTGTTTAAAATTGAGTTCTGACTGAAACTGAAGTTTTAAATGTCTTTTATCTTGTGATAAAGTTCAGTCTTGCTCTCTTAGAGAAAAAAGATTGTACAACCTGTTAAGTTGTCACAATGCACACTTTGTAGCTAAGTCAAGTTATGTAACTTAAACTTGTAATCTATACAGAAAAAAATACAACAATTTTAACATTTGATAACAAAGATGCGTTTAATATTTATTTAGAAGACAAGATTCTAAAAACAGGTTTATATAGATTTTACAATTAAAATAAATGTCAAGTTATCTTAAAAGGTTAAACATCTCAATTATATTTGAGGGTTGCTTGATAATTTTTTTTCTTAATTACTCATCGATTTCAACTTTTTAAAACAGCAAACAATAAGACAGATTTAATGTAATAAATGAAAAGTGTCAAACTTGGAAGCCATTTGTTTCATTGTTAGCGTAGTTACAGCAGTTCGCCTTTAGAGGGCAGCATTGGTTATGTGACAGTCCAGTCCCGACCTATGACAGCAGCAGGCTGGGGGTGAGCTTGGACTCATTTTGTAATATTAAGGGGCCAGTAGAAATAAATGAGAAAGAACTAGAGCCTCGTTTGGAGCAAACTAAATAATGTGTGTTCATGTTGCTCTTTGTGTAACTTTATACTGCAGCAGTAGCGTTAGCTCAGTTATCGTAGCTTTGTTATATGTATGTACTGTATGTTGCTGCTGGACGTAAATCCACTACACAGACGTGTGGAAAATAAATGGTCAAACTGGAGGAATTAAGTTGGAAATGTTTGTAATGTAACTTTGATTAGCTTGCTCATTGCTCAACACAAACAGCTTTGTGTCGCATTCCAGAAGAACCACACACACATCCAGAAGGATTTATTTCCTGTATTATTTATTGAAAACCCAGCAGTCGTCATTAATACCTGTTGTGCCTGTACAGGCAGGGGAGTGAGGAGATGTGGTAAACTAAACTAGTTGTCATTCTGTTGTCAAGAAATAAAAGGCAAAGGACAAAGAGACAACAAAAAACACTCCGATATGCTACAGAATGACACCTTTGTATTGTTTTCTCATTTTTCTTTTAACACTCGTTTTTAAAAATGTTACACAGATGCAGAGAAAAATAAGCGTTGAGGAAGAAGAGAGTGACAGCAGTTCAGAGGGAGACAAGAAAGAAATTGAAAATGAAAGACAGGTTTGGGTGTGTCTCTTAAAATAGTTGTGTTCGTTTGTTTCCTCCTCTGCCAAGTGTTGCTTTGACTTATTTTGTGTAGTGAAAAGCCAACAGGAGACAATCATCTTTCTCCCTCTCATTCTCTGCGTCTCTTCCTCCCTCCGTCCTTCTTCATCGTTTCTTTGGAGGTTGGGCTGTGCGGGGAGGAGTGACGGGCCGTCCCGAGTTCATCCCTCCATACTGGTACTTTGCTTTCTTCTCAGATGGCTTCAGGATCTGCGAACACACACGGCAACGACAGAGTTAGCTCATAAACAACAACAACCTGCTCTGTGTGTGTAAAGGAGGTTATTCTCATATTGTCCTGTCCTGTTTGACAAAGTGTGTGTGGATTTCATTTTTTGATTCCAATGTGTTGCAAATTCACTCACTCCTAACTGACCAAAACTTCTCAGAGGGATGCAGAGGAGGACGCATGCTGTCCCTGTGAGTCCTCAGAGGGCTTCTGAGATACAGACTCTGGTCTCAGTTGTGTTTGGATTGCTATTCGTGGTAACTTCATACCTGGAAGGAGCACATCAGGGTTTCATCCACGCTCATCATGCCGCCGGCGTTGTCGAACTCCCCACAGTAGTTGGGAGCTGAGAACAGAGTCACCAGCTGCCTCTTTGCAAAGAACTCGTAACCATCTTCCACCACCTGGGGGCGTCGGACGCACAGGAACGTTACACAGTGAAGAGGTGACACTGCTTTCGCACGGACATCATCATCTGATTTTTAGACTTTATGCCAACACATTAATCAGTGTGCGCTGTACCTGGTGGGCTCTGCAGATGAGGTCCAGGTCGTGCCGGTTGAGGAACTTGCTGACCACATCTGCTCCGAAAGTGAAGGAGACGCCGCGGTCATTTTCTCCCCAGCCCTGGACGTCCTTGTCTGGGTCCGACCACAGCAGATCACACAGGAGGCCTGGAGGGAACAAATACACACATGAACTCCTTCCTGTCGTCTTAATGCCGTCCCAGAGGAGCTGATTCATCTCCATGTTTGACCTGCTGTCAGACACTCGCATAGCATCCAATAAT